AAGGGTTCTGCTAATTCTCCGACCCCAAAAATCTCATGGCTAGCTCCTGCACTTCCTCCAGATTGTTTTTGCAAAAGCCATCCCTTGGTGAGGTCTTCCTAGTAACTCTCATAAAAATTTCAACACTTTTTACCTCTTTCTGACATTTTATTGCTCTTCCCTGACTTATTTTTCTCCTTAGCACTTACATCCTTCTAGCATGTTTATAGATGCTACCTTGTTTCATTATCTGCAAAACTACAACTCTCCTAGGTCAGGGATTTCAGTCTGTTTTGTTTATTACTGTATTGTCAATTCCTAGGATTGGCCCACAGTAGGAGCCAAGCAAATATTTATTGAATGAACAAGAAAAGAATTTAAATGTCTAATTACTTGTGGCCTACATATAGAGTTATAAATACATGTGTGTAAGTTCATGAGCATATAAGTCTCTTCAGTACTTTCTAAGTTAGCAGATCAAAGGTTTATATCCTGCCTGGCTTTGGATAAGTTACCTCACTTCTGTGAACCTCATTTCCCATATGCACTAGAGAAAAGAAAAATTTTTAAAGAAACATAGTGCCCCTCTCTTACAGAATCATCATGAGGCCCAAATTAAACAATATATGTGGAAATAAGGTATAAGCTATAAAATGCTATGCAAATAAACAATAATATAATTATTGCCATATTATATAGCATGAGAAGTGTTAACACCCCGAGAAATAAAATGAATCATGAAAGTTGTATGTGAGTGTTTCTCATAAAAATTTAATAAAAATAGTCAGAATACTAAATCAACCTTTTTTTAAGTAAATATGCAAATTAAATAAGCAAATAAGCATTTTAGATACATTAAGAATATGTGTTTGAAATACAATTTTAAAATCCTTATTCCATTATCACATACTTCTCTTTTTAAAATAATAATAATTGTAACTTAGTAGTACCAATTTTGAAAAAAAAATACTCCAAAAATACCCTTTTTTGTTCTATTAAAAACAAAAGGGAAACCCCTATGCAAAACAGAAGTCATAGTTTTCAACTATCAGATAAATATTTAAAATAAACTAAACAGAGGTTGAATTCTCTTAAATGAGCAAATAGCCTTCATCATTATTCCAATTGACAGGCCCAACCCAGATAGGAAACACTCCATTATTTGCAAAACAAAAAAGCCATCCCAACAGCTGCATAATAGGCAAACTGCATTTGATTTAAAAGGTCATCTGAAACAGCCTAGCGGCTTAGCAACAGTGTTTGGAGTTGCTGAGAGACCTAAGATGCACATGGACTTGAATTTCTTGGTCTTAGACATGTGAAAGCTAACCTAATCATTGGGAAATCTAAAAAAAAAAAAAAAAAAAAAAAAAAAATGGCTTTGGCTTTCAAGAGAGAATCTAGATGCCCAAGGAAAATTCCCAAAGAGTGGTCTCATTTGATCACTGACAACATTGCCTGAGAAAAGAAGCTAAACTAACCAACTTCTCAAGGACTCCCATCTTAACATATATTTAAATAACTGAGAATGAGCATTGATAAAACAACCTACCAATTTTGAAGGAGAAAATAAATCCTAACAAAACCACTGTGCAATTTCAAAAATGCTGAAATGAGACTATTAACGGGCACTATTTATTAAGGCCTCATTCATCTAACAAATGTTTGTTAAGTGCCTAGTATGTGTTGGGCACTCACTGGGCATGAGTTCACCAGAGAACATAACAGACAAAAGCTCTGCCTTCATGGTATTTACTTCTATGACAATCCATTTATTCCTTAAATGACTCTATTAGGTAGACTTTATTATTTCTAAATTATATAAATTGGCAATTTGCCCAAGGCCATGCAGCTAATTCAGGAAAGAAACAGAAAGACACTAAGGTCTACCTGACTTTAAAGCCTCAATTGGCAAATCTCCAATCCAATAATTACAGATTGAACTTTCCAATCAAAATAGTAGTCATACTTGGATTTGTCTGAGGCAAGTTGAGAAGAGACATTTGAATACAAAGATAACTTTCCATATGGTTCCTTGGACATTTTCTTACTCAAAGTACACAGCACACAGACACTTGAGACTGATCTTTTACTTAAGAGAATGTATTTTCTTCAGAATAGCAGGGAAAAAATTTTAATTTTTTAATCTTATTATAATTATAATGCACCACTAAAAATATGGGGGAAATATCTTTAAATTTTTACATTGGATTTTTCATATCTAGCAGCTGGTTGTAAACAATTTCTTTGAAAAAGCAGACTTGCTACTGCAGAAAGATAAGCTAGCATCTTCACCCAGCCTGACTTTAAACTTTTACACACTTCCAAAGACTTCCCACATTGTGCTATTGCATTCCTTGTTCAGTTTGTAGCAACACACATTTACTGGCCATCCAGTGTATGCTAGTCAGGTGGGAGGTTCCAAAAGCACAGAGATGATTAAGATGAAGTTCCTGCCTCTGAGAAGTTCACAATCTGGGACAGATAGCTACACAAGCAGATAATCTCCACACCAAATGGTAGGAGGTATTCACAGGTCCTAAAGGAGCTATGGGGTGACGGAAACCTACTCTTCTTGGAGAGGCTGAAAATATTTCTTGGAGAAGGTCTGAATCTTAAGAAAAAGGGTGGGGGGAAGGAATAAAAAGAACAAAGACAAATATTTTGTTTTCTGTGGCTAAAAGATAAAGTGCAAGAAAGAAATTGTACTTCCGTTTATTCATTTGTTCAACAAATGTTTTGAGTATATATATTTGCCAGGTCTGAGCCAAGTGCTTTGCTGAGCTAACTCATTAAAGCATTCCAACAATACTATGAGTGATGTACAATTCTCATTTTACAGAAGATGAAAGTATAGCTCAAAGAACATCACTGTTTTTAAGACAGCTCATTCTACCTTTGTCCAATCCTCTTAGAAAAAAGTCCATTCTTACACTGTGCTATAACTTCCACCTGCTGATCTCTGTTCTATTCCCAAGACTTTTCTCACAAAATCAGACCTTTTCTCCAGTGAAGATTATGATGATAATTTGACAACCTAAGTAAAAACACTATAAAAGGCAAAAGGATAAGTACTTATCTGAAATGGTTGAATCAATATAAAAGGAGATTGTATTAGATTAAAAGACCCTACTTGAAAAGCAGCTGAACTCAAAAGTTCAGAATGTTAGAAAAATCCAAATAAATGTTCCATGGAGACAAGTTCCTAAAGAAAAACAACAAATAGCAAAGTACTTCCTCCTCTAATAGAACAAAGATAACTGCTGTGGTCTGTACCCTCAAGTTCATGTTGAAACTTGAATCCCTTATTACTGTGAAGTAATAAGAAGTGGCCTTTGGACAGTGACTAACTTAAGAGGGCTCCACCTAATGAAAGGATTAGTGCCTTGTGAAAGTGCTAGAAGAAACTAGCTTAGGCCCTTCTTTGCTCTTTGACCTTCTGCTAAATAAGGATGCCAACTTCAAGGTGCCATCCTTGAAGCAAGACCATGCTCTCCCAGCCACAGACCCCGCCAGCATCTGATCCCACCTACACAACTATGACAAGTACAAATTATTCAGTCTCAGGTTTTTGTGATAATAGCACTAACAGATCCAGGGCTTACATATAAACCTTTTTCATTTTCTTAGTCCTTAAAGTTTTCCTGACTTCAAACACCGTTGAATTGGCACAGTTTCCTTACACACCCTAAATAGATTTCTTTGCTCAACTGTCACTTTGTGAATGATCTGAAAAGTATACTTTGGAAGAATCCTATTGAGGATTTAAGGAAATTAAACAAAGAAAAACTCACTTTCCCAAAGGTGTCTCACCTTCTATTTGGAAACAAGTATCTGCCAGGTTTGAAAATAGTATGAGTCCAGTAAGTCAGAGGGTTTTTGCAAAGTGGGTAACCACCAGCCTATACTCAGTCAACTTCCAGGCAAAACAATCCTCACTCCAAAAGCTATTGGACATATACAAAAGGCCAAATTTGACTTTTGTTTAAGCGAACATGTGAAAGAATGACATTTACAATTTAACAATGTTTCTGGTTAAGAGGTACCTACTTGTATCTATCATATTTGTATCCATCCTATTTCCATATATATAATAAATATGTATATATTTATACATATAAATATACTTATATATGCATATAAATATATATTTATATGCATATATAATACATTTGTATATAATGTATATATGCATATGTGTATATAACGTATATATGTATATAATATATGTATATGTATAAATATGTATATAAACATAATAATAAAAAATTAGGGAAATTTTTTATTAACTGATTGCCATTAGCTGACAACATAATTTTTATGCCAAAACACAAAAAAATTAAATCTCAGACACCTCCAGAATCAATACTATTAACTCTAACGTGAACTAATATTATGTACGTCACTTCTTAAAGGAGTCATGTGATGCAGAGCAAACATGGCTTTTCTAATTAGGTCAAGGTAGAAAGGTCAAAGTCTAGTTAGACAGGTCAAGGTCTAGTTAGACAGGTCAAGATATCTGTGTTTATCACCTACCTGGCTGGGCTTTGGTAAAGTGACTGAATGTGTGAACTTCAGTTTCCTCTTCAGTAAAATAAATGAGGGGGAACTATAACAACTACTCCATAGGGCAGCTATGAGAATTTATCTAAAGTGCCTCATACAATACTTGAAACAGAACAGAGTTTTGAGTTAAAAGATTTGAGTAAAATACTGAATTTTTTTTCCTTATCAGCAATAATAGTAACAAAAATAACATAAACTGAGAATAACAGACAATGTTTCATTTGGGCTATAGAGTTTTTCCCCCCAGTGTTTTGATTTTGCTGCTATTGTGCACATTAATAATACAAAACTATCTCTTCTAGCCTCCTCTGTCTTTCAAGGAGTAGAAGAACCTGATGGTTATTGCTGTTATATTCTGCATTGTTTTACTGTCCAGCATTTTCTGTTCTATTTTCTCAGCTATCCTCCAAGTGTCTTAACCAACTAAATTTCCTCTCTGAATTATCAAAGCTCACCTGAAAATGATGTTCGAGTGTGATTTGATGTTTTTCCCTCCATACATGGTAATGATCCAGGAGGGCCTTGGTCTCACACCCCATTGTTTAAAACATTCATCAGAATATTTCTTCAAGTTCCATTGGTGAGGTTCAAACATGTCATCAATACCACTGGTACAAAAGGGCATGACCATTTCCGTGCAAGCCTAAAGGCAAACCAGGAGAGGATCCAAAGAGAAAATGAGGAAAAAAAAAAAAGATAAAATAAATTTCCCAAGGTCATTCAACTAGAAAGCAGCAAAGCCAGGGCATGAGCTCAAGCAATCAGCTTCAGGGCTACTGCTCTTTATTTTTATATCAAAGATATCAAAGATTGCTCCAACCCTGGGATCACAGATTCCTAGTTGCTGTTTCTGAAAGATTAAGGCATTTTGCCTGGCCTGAATAATTATAATATACATTCAGTGATAAGTGGGCAGTACTTATGAACAACCTCTTACTATTCTGGTAAGGCTTGGCTGAGAAGCCACAGGGGTTAGGACTATGTGCTCCTTCTTTGCAAACTGCCTTTTTCATATCTATTGTTATATTTAACCTTCAAGACAGCTCTGGAAAGAAAACATTATTATCACTATTGGTCTTCATATGAAGAGAAGGGATGGAGACTCAGAGTCAAATTAGACTCCCCTTCTTTTATGCATCCATTAAATGCTTGCTCTATAGGATGTATTGAGATCTATGACAATATTAATTTAGATTACCTGTTTTTCTCACAAGGCTATATTTGATGGTGAGATTATGTGTTATTTATCTTTATATCTTTGCAGACTAGGCAGTGCCTGACACATGTTAAGCACTCACTATGTATTTGGTAATGATTAAGTACATGAATGAATGCATGAATGAGTGAATAAGGAAACTGGTCTCATAGTGTAAAGTAACAGAGTCCAGATATGGATTCAGGTTGAGTGAAAAAATCTTGTATAGTCTCTATTACAGTACTACTATATCAATGAAAGGTAAATATGCTTGGGGATATCACATAAACTTACCTGATAGCTCCAACCCAGGGATCCCAAATTCTTAGTTGCTGTTTCTGAAATATTTAGGCATTTTGCCTGGCCTGAATAATTATAATATACATTCAGAGCTTGGAAAATATTCTGTATCAACATTGAATCCGGTACACTAGGATTTATCAAATACTGGCACACCACCTGTCATTGTAGATAAATAATAAAGAAGAATCAGAATATGAATATAAAACTACAATTTGTTTTGTTTTGTTTTTGTTTTTTGGTACCAGGGATTGAACCCAGGGATGCTTAAACACTGAACCACATTCTCACCCCTTTTTATTTTTTATTTAGAGACAGGGTCTCACTAAGTTGCTTAGGGCCTCACCAAGTTGCTGAGGCTGGCTTTAAATTTGTGATCCTCCTGCCTCAGCCTGCTGAGCCACTGAGATTGCAGTGTACCACCATGCCCAGCTAAAACTACAGTTTGATAATACAAAGAAGAAATAAATATTGATTTGATCATAAAGTATTCTTAAATATCAAACTGTATTGCTTGAAAATTTCTATCTCTTGAGTATAATCCCTTCAAAAAATAATTAACCTTTTAAAATTTCCCATGGGGAGTGATACTGACCAAATTACATTGTTATAACTTATGCATGTACAAATATGTAATAATGAATCCCACTATTATGTATAATTATAGTAAACCAATAAAATATGGAAAAATAAGCTTTTCCAAGACTACAGAAATAAAACAGTTATTTGTACAGTATGCAAAGTCCTCTGCACCTGCCTCTAGTTTCAACTTTGCAGCCTTTGCTCCAGCCTAATAAAACCATTCTCCCCTCCAACAAGCTTTTTCCTTCCTCTTTGCCCTTGCTCATCCTGAAACCCTCTTCCCCTCTCACTCCACTAATGCCTGGTCAGCTCATGTTTTACAATACTCAGCTCAAATATCACTGCTTTTCTGAGGCCATCCTTACCTCTGTTTCCAAGTCAAGAAGAAATCAACTATTCCCTTCTTGGTGCTTCCACTACCCCCTATACTTATTTCTATCAGAGCCTCTGTAATGCTCAACATTCCCTCGTTTAGTTCCAGAATATCTCCCTCAGCACTTAGAAAGGTCTCTGTTATCTAAATATTTGCTGAAGAAGTGAGTATATTTTTACATAAATGCAAAATTCATAATTTTTTTCATGGAAAAACTATACTAAGCTCCAACATTCATGTTATGATAAGAAGCATATTCTGCAACTCCCCAACTCCCAAATGTTCCTGTCACTGGTCTGTGCCTAAAATTCTAGCTCTATAAACACAGGCAATTCTCAGGAGTGTGGAGACTAACTAGAAAAGGCCTGGGAAGCTTTCTGGGGTACAGAAACATTTTGTATATTCATAGGGGTCTGGGTTACACAACAAATGATACACATAACTTATGCATTTCACTGTATGTAGATTTTATTTCCCCCCCAAAAAAAGAAAAATTATAAACAAATATTGAATTCTAGTTAATGATATTAAAACTTAATTATTTAGGGGGAAGATATCAATAGCTTACTTGGAAATGCATTAAAAATAAGATGGAAAAAGAGATAGATGGATAGGTAAATATTTATATGTGATAAATAAAATATAGCAAAAAATTATTCATAGAATTTAGGTGGTACATGTATGGGTGTTCACTGTTCAATTAGTTCCTTTTTTCTGGATGTTAGAAATGTTTCATAATAAACTGTTAGGGAAAAAATTACAAACAATAGAATCATGGCTAAAAAAATAACGATAATAGTCACTGATTATTAAGCCCTGAGCTTACAACCATTACATCATTTAATCCTCAGAAAGACCTATCAGATGGATGATTGTCCAGTATTATAAGAAGAAACTGATTCTTAGGTTCAATCACTTTTTTTTTTAAGAGAGAGAGAGAGAGAGAGAATTTTTTTAGATATTTCTTTTTCAGTTTTCGGTGGACACAACATCTTTATTTTATTTTTGGGGGGTGCTGAGGATCTAACCCAGCGCCACTTGCATGCCAGGCGAGCGCGTTACCGCTTGAGCCACATCCCCAGCCCCAGGTTCAATCACTTTAATAAAGGCTACCAAAGTAGTAAATGGTAGGAAATAGATATTTCCCAGGTGTCTCTGCTTATGAAATCCATATCTTATCTTTTAGTTTAGAAAGTCAACCTTTGTAAACCGGGGGCGGTGGCACACGTCTTTAATTCCAGCACCTCAGGAGGCTGAGGCAGGAGGATCCCGAGTTCAAAGCCAGCCTCAGCAATATCGAGGCGCTAAGCAACTCAGTGAGACCCTTTATCTAAATAAAATACAAAATAAGGCTAGGGACGTGGCTCAGTGGTTGAGTGCCCCTGAGTTCAATGCCCGTTACCACCCATCCCCCAAAAGTTGATCTTTGTAAAACTGCAAACAGCCCAATGGCAAAGAAAACACATAAAGTTTGCATTTTGTAATCAAAACTTTAACATGAATTCAGTGATCTGGTCTTTTCCAATTTCATATGGAAAAAATATAATACATAGGCAGTTTCTGGCAAAAAGGAAACAAGTCCAGAGAAAGAAACAGAGAGAGAGGAGTCCATCTCACAGACAAATTGAGAGAGCAGCAGGAGCAAGGTCTGGGCTGGGTACATATCCCCAGTCAGGGAAGGAGGGCATAGAGAAAGGAAGTAGAAATAACAAGCCACAAGCAAACCCAGCCCCTCATCACAATTCTGTTTAGGACCAGCTCCCAGAAACACTCCCATTAAAAAAAAAAAAACTTAAAAAGACTGAGAAAATGAGTTGTACACAATCATATTCTATGAATTGTTAACTGGTACTTTGTGGGGAAAAAAACTTCTTAGTCAAATAATTTTAAGGAATATTGTATTAGAAGGAATATTGTATTAGCAAATGTGAACAGCTTTCTTGAATGTAGGATTCAGAGCATTTAATATGTTCAACTGCAATATGAATTTCCAAAATGAAGATAGTATGCATCAATAAGTTTTTGGAAATGCAAAGTGTGAGAAAAGCCAGGAAATAAGATGCCCAAACAAAGGATATACTTTTTAAGAGTAATATGACGTCAAAAGCATAAGGTACACCAGTATGCAGGATGCACATGAAGAAACAGAATCGAGCTAAACTGAGAGCTTCATAAACCTAGAGTAATAAGGAAATGCCAGTTGAAGAATACTTAAAGTCAAAACAGTGTTTTCCTATGTTGACAGCTCTTAATTTTTTTGTGGCAAGATGATCATTATTATCCAAAGTACATGTATGAAGACAAGAATTGGTGTGAATATACAACCAGAGATATGAAAAATTGTGCTATATATATGTAATAAGAATTGTAATGCATTCCACTGTTAGATATAAATTTAAAAAAATTATCCAACATTTGTATGGCAATTGTCAGAAAATGTTCATAAATATGGCAATATATCTCAGTATTCAAGACAGAAATACTCAAGACGATATAGATATTAAGTAAAGAACCAAACACAGCTATTGCCAATAGTTGATCAGTATTCCTTCCTATATCTTGATACCAGCAGCAGACTGCTTTTTCAAAATGCAGCACAATACTACAGAGGAGCTACATGGAATGGGGAGAAGATCATTATGTTCAAGCACATCGTGGTAGATAAGACAGGGTGATGGTGCAAGCTGGACAGAGGGAAAAAGGTACTGGTGTACAAGAACTGGCCTAAAACTCTGCAAAGACCAGGAGCAAGTGAGTGTGACTCACATGCTGGCATTAGAGTCCTACTTAGAGCTAGAACACTGGGCCTCTGTTGGGCAAAGAAAAGGAGTCCCCATGAATAGCCATATTTGCAAAGAACAGTTACTGTCACTCCTTAAAAGACACAAGCGTGGCTGGAGACCAGCATCAGCTGACAATACTTGTGTTTTGTCAGCCCCAGAACATCATGGTCAGAAACATGGCCTCTGCTGATAGAAATTCTATGCCCAGATTCAGGGCAATCCTGAGCCCACTTTCCTCTGTGAAGTCAGAGGACAACTGAGTCCAGTTCTGGGCACTACACCTTAAGGAGGACACCAACCAAACATGAGAAAATCCAGAGGGGAACTGGTGAGATGGGGAATTGAAGAATAGTTGAAGCAACCCTAAAATCGGTCATGTGAATCATTCCCAACCTTTCATTAATACAAATAAAGCTTAAAAAATATACCTATGACTAAATTTATTTTTAGTTTTCTTGAGACAAATTCTTAAAGGAATTACTCATTCAAAAAACTAAACATTTTTAAGGCCTTAGGTATATTCCATCATATCTATTCACTTCCATAACAATTTTGGTAGTAAAGTAAATGAAGTTTCAAAAAGTACCAAAGTAATACCAATAAGACCTTAGCACTATTCCCATGCTTATTCAAAGACTATGATAGTTAAAAAACAGAGATTCACATACTTTTTTTCAGATTTGCAGGATGCATATAACATGTAAATATTAAGTTGAACCATATAAAATTGCCACATTTATAGGTGAAACATAGTCAAATACTGGCAAGTTTGGTACACTCTTGTATAAAATTCAGCTTAATCCTGACAATTTACATATATTACCCTCTTAATAAGAGCAAGTCCTTGACTTGTTGGTTGTTTGCTGAAGGACTACAATCTAATCAGGTTAGACAACCACCTCTGTCCACACACTTAACACCCATCTGTAGCTCCTGTAATATATTATATATTTTGTGTTTCTTGTGAACAATCTCAAAGCCATAAATGTACTAAAACAGGGCCAGGTAAAGCTGGGGTTGCTGGTATAACTACTTAAGTTCCTTAAGGCCAGGCACTTTCCCGACAATGACCTAGGAAGCAACAGATAATGACCACCCGCATTTCACAGAGGAAAAAACAAGCTCACAGAGGTTTGGCTCCAGACACATAATTGAGAAACTGTGAGTATACAGGTTCTGAACTCAGACTGCAGCAATGAACTACTTGCATAATAATACTCTCTTCCTGATATTATATAACTAATTATTAACTAGCATCAATTTAGTGCTTACTACACAACAGATCCTATGAAATACAACAACCCACATAAGTATGGCAATTGTAATTATCCCCATTTGCAAGTGATGAAACTAAAGCACAGAGAGGTTATAAAAGTTGTTTAAAGCTACACAGGAAGGAAGTACCAGAGTTGAGATTCAAACACAGACTTACTCTGGAGCTTCCATTTGTCATCATTAACCACACATACTCACTGTAAGAGAAATCACAACACAGTGCCTAAATATACCTATAGTATCATGGTGACTTTTTTGTAACATTTTTTTTTTAATTCTTGGATTGTTTTTATATGTTTCTATGATTATTAGTTTTAAGTAAAACCTTAGGAGGGGTTTTGTGGCAATATAAAATCACAAAATTTTAAAAATATGCAAGAGTAAAAAGGAACTGCAAAATAGCAGAGCAATAGGAAGCTCAAGAACCAACACTTGAAATAGACTTAATTCACTTTCTATTTCCTCGTGTAAAAGTGTGCATTTGTGGAAACACTTAAAAAAAATTTAAAGGTCCACTTTCCTAATTCTAGCTTTAAGTACAGAAATAGTATAAGAAATAGAACATTCATGAAAACATTGGAACCAAGCTGTTCAGATATGCACCCAAATATTTAGGTTCTGCCCTTTGACCTCCCCCATATACCAGAAAAAGGAAAGATAATGATTTGTTTAAAAGCTCTAAGTGTCCCTACCTATGAGAATAAGCATTTGAATAAAAGAAAGAAAAGGGAAGCAAAGAGAATTTTTTTAAGAGGAAGGAAAGAAGATAGGTTAAAAAAAAAAAAAAGACCAATCTCCTCTCAGAGAGCATGGTCCATCCACATTATAAAAAGGATTAAGCAGATACATTCAGCTTTTCTAACAGATTTTCTTTCTCTAAGGCTTCAATACCCCTCTCACACTCACTCGGATAATCACATTAGTTTTGTCATTAAAAGCTCCCTTTTCAGAGAATGCACCTAAACCGCTTAAACCACCCAGAGAGGTCGCATACATTATCAAACACCAAGACAAACGGAAGAGGTTTTCCATCTTATGTCTTATTACTTCACTCTATCCTTTTGCATGCTCAGGAGTCTAATTAGTTACCAGGTAAAAAATGATTCCAAAATTAACAAACTATACAGTATCCTTTAAAACTGCTCTTCAAGTTAAAAGACCTAGTAGTCTTTATGTGGACAGAACAGTCAAATGACAGAGGGGTTTTCTATTTCCCTTTTCTCTTCTTCCTTGTGTTCCACTGGCCAAGTCTGTGATTATCTCTGCATGAATGTTGCAGCTTCTGTTAACAGTAAACAAAAGTAAATGGAGCCTGAGCCTGCAGAGCCCAAAGACAAATTAAAAAGAATGATCCTTGAATTGACACGGAAAATGGCCTTTAGTTGCTGCCCATGGATCCTTCAGAACTGTACAAGGTTTAGCCTGAATTGGAAATCACCTGCTTTTCTCCATAACCCAATTGCTGCATATTATCTCACCATCCTAAGCCTGAGTCACAGACTCAGAGAAGGACTGCTGTTTGTCAGCCCTTTAAAAAGGAGGAAGTGTATCAGAGGGAGGAGGAGTTTTGGCTAAATGGAACTATCCAAGTGAAAGAGCGGTCCCCAACTGGGTAGTGTTCAGGGATTAGTGGGTTGGGAGAACAGAGAGGGGTCAAGAAAGGAGAAATAGAATGGGCAGTGAAAGAAAGTGATCTGAAGCTAAAAGTTTGGGAGGAAGAAAAATTCTGAAAATCAGACGGGTAACTAACTATAGGAGGAAAAGGAAATAGAGGCAATGCAAGTTTCTCAAGGAAAAGGCAACAGATTATTTTTGATGGGTTATAGGCAGGAAATGGAATCATAAATGTATTTATTGTAAGCAATCAAGAATTCCATAATACCAGGTTGGGGGCACAGCTGGGTGGTATAGTGCTGGGTTCCACTCTCCAAAATAATATGTCCTTAATATGTCAAAGGAAAGAATAACATTGGTAAGATAACTGAAGAAAAGGACAAGAACTAATCCTGCATAAAAGAAGCTAAGGTTATTATGGGGGAAGGACATAAAGTTATCTTGCCAAACAAACAAACAAAAAAGCTTCTATAATGTATATAAACAAAAAGATAAAAGGACTGCACTAAATAGCAATAATAATAAAAGACAACAAAATATTTTAAGTAGACCCTACTGGTTTCAAGTAATTATTAAGAATAGTGAAGGAAAAAAATATTTATTTACATCGAAGACTCAACAGGAAAATGTCTGAAGGAACATTAAAGAAGTAGAGAAAACACCATGTTAGACTGCTCACCATCCCAAATCATGATGAACAACTAATACTAAAGCTATATTCCTCTGGCTCTTTTCAGATTAAGGGTCAGCAAATTACAACCTCCAGGCCAAATGCAGCCCAACTGCCTGTTTTTTAAAAAATATTATTGGCAATCCTTCTTCATTTACGGATTACCTATGGCTACTTTCATGCTATACCTGCAGAGTTGAGTAACTGTGACAGAAATCACGTGGCCCACAAAGCCTAAGTATAACCCTTTATGGATAAAGTTTGCCTATCCCTGTTCCATCAATAAGGGAATTCCCTGTTGTTTTTATCATCTGACAATTCATTTGTTTTCCAAGAAAGGGTTAAGATGGAAATGTAATTCTCTCTTTGTATACTGAAAGAGTTAAATTTGATGTTTGAATCCAGATTTTATTAACATGAAAGAGATCTCTTTCTAATAAGTTTTTACTGAATTTAATTAAATGCACACAGGTGCAAAACACTTTGTTCATGAAAAAAGAAAAAAAATAACTAATTGCAGATGAATTTGTTTCATTTTAGTTGCAAAGTTTTAAGCAAGATGTATGTTTACTGCTTCAAAGGCACAGTAAATTACAAGTGATTTTGAAATCTGGCTCTCATATTACCAATTCCATTTTTATTTCCAGCACCAATTCTAGCTGTAGAGTCAATTATATTCTCAAAACTTAACTATAGAGTTGGCCAGCCTTTATTTTTAAAACTAAAAGGAAAAGTTCCTAACAAACAATATGCTTAAAAAAGAGCATACACAATAAATAATTTGACATGAATAAAAACTTAAAAATCTAAAAGAACCTAAAATTGGTGTAATGTGTCTTTATACTTCTCAAAGTGTTTTCACATCCAATATTTCATTTGGTCCTAAACACAACCCTATGTAACTATTGTCATCCTTTTTTATAGAGGTAGACATGGAAACTCAGGGAGGAAGAACACCTTGGCCAAGATCATGCAGCTGGAAAGCATCAGTTTCTGGCCAGACCTTCATCTTCAGGGACCCAAGTCAGTGTTTTTTCCATTCTGCCATGCTGCATGGGAATCACCCTTCACACATGTGTAGCACTTAGAAAACTTTAGCAGCCGACTGAATCATAATACTATGATAACAACTGCAATTTATTAAGCATCATTAGATCTAGGCATTATACATACACCACAAAAATCAAATATATTATATATTCAAAGGGCATTAGACATGGCACATAGTAAATATTCAAATGACTGCAAATGTTGTTCTTATTTCTACTTCATACAGCTTTACAATTGATGTATTTTGCCCCTATTTTTCATGGGAAAACTGAAATTATGCAACATGTCCAAAGTCACATAATCAAAAAGTGGCTGAACCCAGGATTCCCACCCAGATTTGAGTAACTCCACAGAGCCCTAGATGTCACTGGGATTTCCTCTGATGATGAAAGTCAGAAAATGTATGTGAAAATTAAAGTATGTCATTAAAAAAAATGAGAGGAAATTTTCCTATTACCTTGATAGGCCAAGCAGGCAAAGGCTGCAAAAAGTTAGATGCATAAGGGTAGTTCACCATTGCCAGATTCACCCAAGTTTCCATAATCCATTCTTTCAAATTTGGGATGTCCTCGAATGTCAATGGGCTACATAAGTGAAGGGTTTGAGCAAGCCACTGTAGACCACTGCCTGAGAATAGAATCACAATGCTGGAGTCTAAAAAGTACAAGTCAACACAAGTCTTTACAGATCATTCATTCTTCACTTAGTATTACAGAAAACTCAATTTTCTATACCAATTTTCCAGAATTTTTTCAACATTCAGTAAAATACTTGTAAAGTTACTAGATACTCCCATGATAGACAAGCTGCCTATCTTTATGCAGATTACTAGAATTAGTGGTCTGAATTATTTCCCCCTTTTAAGACACTATTGAAACAAATAAATAGAAATACTATACAGGGTGGATAATGTACAACTAATAAAACAAATTGATACATATAACAAATATACTATTGAACAAAGACAGCAGGCAAAAAAACATATAATATACAATTGCAATTATTTAAAGTTCAAGAACAAGCAAAATTAATCTATGGTTCAAGGAGGGAGGATAGTAATTAGCTGGGTAGGGATGGAGATAATGATTGAGAACGGCACCACGGAATTTCTGAGATGCTGATAATGTTCTTGATCTGGATGCTACTTATTTATACCAAGTACTCAGTTTGTGAAAAATTCATCAAGCTATGCATTTTGATTGTGTAGTTTTATGTACATATATTTTACTTTAATAATCGTTTGCTTAAAATTGGAAGAATCGTTAAACATAGTGGTGCATGCATATAGCCCCCACTACCTGGGAGGCTAAGGCAGGATGATCATTTAAGCCCATGAGTTTGAGACCAGCCTGGTAACATAGTGAGATCCTGTCTCAAAAAAAAAAAAGAAAAAAGAAAGAAAAGAAGTAGGAGGAAGAGGAAGAGAAGGAGGAGGAAGAGGAAGAGAAGGAGGAAGGGGAAAAGGGGAAAGGGAAGAGGAGGAGGAAGAGGAAGAAAAAGAAGAGAGAGAAAGGCAAAAGAAGGAAGAAAAGAAAGAGGGGAAGTATTGATTTAACCAAAATCTCAAATCCATTCACTTGAATAAAACTTACCTGTACTTGAGAGTCTGTTAATGGCATCCCAGGACCTGAGGATAGTCACTGAACAATTTGAACCACTTTTCTTAAAATCTGTAGTTACAATCTTCATAAACATATCACAAGGAACAAAGTCCTCAAACTGCCAGATAGGGGCAGAAGCTGCAAGGGCTCTAAATGGTAAGTGAAACGAGGGAGGAGAAAAAAAAATATGAACTCACTTAACTCAAGTTTTAAAATTAAAATTGAGACTGAACAAAATCAATGAGGAAAAATGACACAGTTTTAAAGACACAGAACTAGAAATCTCAGTAATAGAATGGGGCATGTTTTACCCAAAACAGATCTCTAAGTTTGCCTTGACAATTACTAAGAAGTTCTCATGCCAACATAAATGCACTTACCCAACTACTATGTGAGGATATTTCATCCTGAACCAGGCTGCAAGCATACCACCATAAGAGCCCCCTATTGCAATGACAGGCTGATCTTCAGCTCCTGGGATTGTTCTTTTCAAATGTTTGATTAACTCAGCAAAATCAGCTAGAGCTTGTTCTGATGTCAGAAAATTCAAGTGTCTGCCATCCTAAAGAAAAATAATAAAGAACATGGGTATAAATGTGCATGTAATAGCAGTTTAGGTGTTGCCCAGATCCAGAAAAAAAAAAAAAACGAGGCAGAGAAGCTTTTCTCCAAATACAATTTCTAGTCAATTGAGCTAAAATGCCCAGTCAAAGCAATAGCTGTGCTGATTTAAACAACTCATGAAATATGTTTTTAAGTTTGTGGAAGAACACAATGTACTTTGCATTTAGTTATAATTTCTACTAAATGCTAGTGACTGTTGAGGTATAGAAATAACAACAACAAACTCTAAGTAACATTTAAGAACAAATGTGATGAAATATAAAAATTAAGCCTAATAGACAATTGCTATAACTTGTATTTCTAATATTGACATATTAAAAATGTCCACAATGTAGGAAATAAAAAAATAAATCCTGTGGACAAATGAGGTAAAGATCACCAATAAAAACAAAACTCATTCTTCCTCATCAAAAAGATTATATATTATGAGTAAACTAGGCTGCTTATCATAAACAACTGCAAAATTAAAAGAGAAAAATATATTTTCAGGCACCAGAAATATAAGACATCAATCCTAGAGAGGAGGGAATCTCATAAAGTACATCCCATGATTGTCTATATCTCTGCATAGAGACAATTTCCCTCTTCAGTATAGGAAGTTGAGGCACAAATGGAGTCTGGCTGAACTGAGGAGGCTAACAGGATGTTTTAAAACATCAATAATTCCTGACATCCCTTACTTTAAAAGCTGAAGCCTAATCTCCTTTGAACATGGGCTGGACTTAGCTTCTTGGTTTTAATGAATAAAATGTGGCAGAAGTGATAATACATGACTACCAAGGATATATTTAAAAAAAAAAAAAAAAAAAAGCATGTTAGCTTCTTCCTTGCTCTCTTGTTTGGCCAACTTTGAGGGCAGTTAGCTGCAATGTCATGAATCTACTCAAGTAGGCCCTTCAGGAAGCCTAGAAGGAGAGGAACCAATCTCCAGAGCCAGTTTATCACTCATGTGATAACCTCTGTACTAGTGGAAAGAGTCTCCCATGTCCGGTTAAGCCTTTATCTGTCTCAAGCAGTAGCTGACCTCTTGGCTTGAAATAAACTCACCCAGATAAACCACTCCCAATTCCTTACCTAAAACTGTGAGATAATAAAGGCTTATTGCTGTTTTAAGCCATAAAGTTTTAAAACTATAGCAACAGATAACAAACAGCTATAGAGCCTATCCAGCTATCTTGTTTGATCTTTTTGCATGTGTCTCACCACTCTGTTGACTCCTTCTATTATTCGACACATTACTTAGCTACAGAACTCCCAACTCTCCTCTTTCTATAGATGCCACCTACTCCTTTAGCCTTCCCCCTCATCCAAGATATATGCTTTCTGACTTCTTACCTCCTATCTGTCACTATTCTTTACTTCCAGTTTTTATGGCACTATGTATAGTATAGTTCAATGCAATTCTTTTCCAATCCTTGAATAATATGTGTAACATCCATCATTCTACTGACAAATTCTGTGAGCACAGAAAGGGAAAGAAGCATATGAAAAAAAGAGCCCTTGGCTCCAATTGTTGACAGAGCATCAATTATAGTGACCTTGGCAAGGGAATTATGTTTCTATCTGCAACAAGCTGACTGCTTCCCAGTGGTATCAGGACCTGTCAACTTTTCTAATCAATTATGTGTGAAAAACACTAAGTTAAAGAATAGATGAGGGCTCAGACAGTGGTTCAATGGTAGAGTGTTTGCCTAGCATGTGTGAGGTACTGGGTTTAATTCTTAGCACCACATATAAATAAATGAATAAAATAAAGGTCCATCAACATAAAAAATATATTTAAAAAAAGAATAGATGGGGCTGCAGTTGTGGCTCAGTGATAGAGTGCTTGCCTACCATGTGTAGGCACTGGGTTTGATCCTTGGCACCACATAAAAATAAATAAACAAAATAAAGGTATGTCCATCTACAACCAAAATTTTTTTTAAAAAAAATAGAGCATCTCATACAGCCCAACAACTATCTTTCTATTTATAACACAAAAACATTTTACTTATTTTTATTTATTTTATTTATGATACAATAGCTAAGGATAAAAATTAAAAATTCCTTTCAAAACAGACAGCCTAAAAACTATTGACCCCAAGTTCTTCTAGCTGAAATCTCCTCAAAATCATGATATACGTATACTGATGGTATGCAAAATGATCTTAGGTAGTGCATAGTGTTTTTTAATGTAAGATTGATTATCTTACTGTAACTTGGAAAAAATAACTAGTACATAAAGCCCTTGATTAAGATAATGCTAACATAAAGACTGAGTTCCTTAAAGAAAAATATTAAGAAAATGATATAATTTTTTAAATATATTAATTAATATATTAAGAAAATTAATATAAGCAGAATCACAAAGGTAGAACATAGTGACTCAATTGAGAAAAAAATCATCCAGGTTGATTAGGTGCAGAGCCTGTGGTCAAGACCATAGTCTTTTGTACAAAGAGGAAGGGCTGAGGGAATCCCAGGGACAGTTAGTCTCACTGAATCATACAGCTTATTTTTCTTATTTTATTGACTATCTTGTATTTAAAACACCTTATTAGACAAATGCTTATGTGCTCATTAATGTTTCCAGAGACAGGATTGATAATTAAAGCATATAATTTATAAAGCAGAATTGTTGACCTATACTTTTGAAATAATGAAAAGTCCCCTGCACTGTCTCTGCAGCCATAGAGTAAGATTGAGCTGATTGAAGCTGGCCTGGCACACTGAACTAAACTGGCTAACATCAGAAAGATAATAATATGGCTTTAAAAGCCTCAATCCCAGAGCTGGGGTTGTAGCTCAGTGGTAGAGAACTTGCCTAGCATGTGTGAGGCACTGGGTTCTCAGCACCACATGTAAATAAATAAACTAAAGGTCCATCAACAACTAAAAAAAAAAAATTTTTTTAAAGCCACAATCCATTCAAATCATACTGAAAAAGAAAAGATTAAGCACAAATTCTTAAGATTTCAGGCAGCTCAAGTCAAAACCACCTTATTATTATATTAACATATAATGAGCACATAAGTAGGACTTGTAAGTAAAAAATGTTCCCAACTTTAAACTTCAAAGCAAAACATATATTTACCTGGAATGAGTTGTTGCCAAAGGGCAAGGACTCTCCATAATATCGATGTTCAGCAAACACTAACATAGCTTTCAGTTCCTCAGCCACATCCCACATGAACCCCTAAGAAAAGTTTACAAATCGCAAGATAAAATCAGGACTCACTGAAACTTTTACAAACCCTATGAAATAGATGTTAAACCAGACGAGAAGGAGCTCTCTAAAAAGTTTCATAATTTATGTTTCTTCTACAGATAAATGACATAATTGCTGTTTCACTATTGAATGCTATGTTAGAGTGAAACAATTAAAACCAACCCCAGGTTGGTCACCTACTAGTCATTCCAACTTTCCTTATCCTGAACCTCTCATCCTAGAATCAATATTAGGTCTCAAATAATCTTCAAATTGCAGTAGGCACCATATATTCTGGGAAAGAACTCATGGTATCAAAGTCAGACACTAATCACAGTCATTTATACCATATAAGAGAAAATAGGACAAATAAGCATACTAATCCCCTAGGGAGTATTATATTAATTTGATTTATTGGAAAATAAATACTAGATAACAATAGCTGATATTAACTGAGTAAGTTTATATTTCAGGCCCTGTTCTAAACATTTTCTATGTATTCACTTAATTGTCAAAACGAACAAGAAACAGACACTTTGATTTTACAGACAATACAGAGATACAAGACTAGAAATAAGCCTTGATATTGACACAGCTAGTAAGTGTCAGAAACCAGATTCAAATATAGGCTGCCTGGCTGCAGAACATCATAATTAGGTGCTGTTAGACATCCTGCCTCAGCGTCTATGGCTACTCATTTATCCCTCACTGCCTTTTTTCACTAGCCTCAGTGGTAGCCTCAGAATCCTTCTCAACAAAGCATTCCAGGCAGGCATAGATGGACTCCATTAAACATGATTAAAATGAATTGTCATCCCTAATGCACAGTGTTACTTTTTAATGAGTTGCCACTCCCTAATAAGAACTAAGAACTTCGTCTTCGGTTGTTTTGATCAATAAGCAAACAATTAAAAGAGCTGCATGTATGTGAGTATGGAGAACTTAATGAAACACCTGGGATGGTGTCAGTAGCCCCACCATTCTCTTTGAAGGACCCACTCATTCCATGCCTCATGTCTATAGATCCTGCCCACATACAACTTGTGCATACTCCCCCGCTGCCTGTCCCAACCTGTCAATACTCTCCTTCCACACTGCTGGGCTAGGCCTAGATCTCTATTACTGTGCTGCAAGATTTGTTTATGTGAGTCTTACCCTCAAGACTGTGTCTTAAGAGTAAGAACCGGAGATGGGGTTATGGCTCAGTGGTAGAGCGCTTACCTAGCATGTGTAAGGTACTGGGTTCGATCCCCGGCACCACATAAAAAATAAAATAAAGGTATTAAAAAAAAAAAAAAAAAGAGTAAGAACCATCTATCAGAATACCCAGATTTCTGTGGAGTTGACCTTGGGCTTCAAGAGGAAACAATTTACTTGAACTGATTCACAATGTAATAAGCATTTCTCTGCATCTGCATCAGAGGTATATTTTTCAAATGAGGTGCATATACTTTATTAACATTATGTGCCTACAAATTTTATCTTATTTAGTCTTCATAACTCTATGCCCTAGATATTTTTATTGTACCCATTTAATAGATGAAAAAAACTGAAGCACAAAATAAGAAACTTTCCCAAAATAAAATAGTAAAGTGACAAAATCAGAATTCAAATCTTGTCAATCTGGTTGAAGGTTTCACTCTCTATCACTATACTATACTGCCTATTGAAAAAGGAACATCTAAAAGTGAGGAAGATGTCTGGGACTAGGAAATTTAGGGTATGCCCTTCCAAGAGCTGCCTCTAATCAGTTCTCCAGAACTGTTCTTGGCACTTCTGAGGATAGGAATCCCCAAGCAAACCTCAGGTTCTGCTCTAGTTTCTAACAAGCAGTAGAGTCTGGTGGAGGAAGCAATAGCTACCTGCCTACAATACAGGAGAACAGGAGCTAGGAAAATCTGAATGAAAGTTGCCCTGTGGCCTTGGCACAAAAAGGGCAGTCACAGATAAGAAAAAGAGACAAGGCAGCAGCCACTGTTCCACAGAATCTGATGGAAAGGAAGTCCTGCTCTCACTGATCATTCGTCTGAAAAAAAAAAAAATAAGTCATTCCAGGATCTCATTTCTCAGGGAATTATTTCATTTTCAACTAACATATTTAGATTCTTATTCCTAAGGAAACAGTCATCAATGAGGATTCAGTAGCAGTATAATTGGTTCTATATCTTTACTTTAAATTCAATGCAATTTATTTCAACGAACATTTACTGGGATCTTCTGAGTACCAGGAACCATGCCAAATACTGGAATTGGAAATGATAATGATTATTACACTACTTTGTAATAAAAAAAGTATTTCATTGTTTTCATTTGTAATTCTTTAAACCTAAGCATGAAGCCTTCTTGGATATCTATAGTTATTCTTTTGTGAACTGCCTGTCCATGTATTTTTGCTATTTTTCCATTATGTTATTGTTAAAAAGAACTTTACAGTTAAGAAAGGTAGTCCTTGGTCATCTATACTGCAAAACAATTTTTTGTAGTTTATCATAATAAAAGGCAAATTGTTTGAGCAGAGGAATTTTACAAATCTGCACATACCGTGTTATTACAAAACCAAACAATGTCCCCTTCGTTACCAGTGTAGAAAAGTATCGATCCACCATCTTTATCCCAGTGTTTGTCAGCTAGCAGGTACCGCTGTTTAAAAGTTTTCATGTTACTGAATCCAAAATGATCAACCTATGATAAAAACAAAGCAGACACAGACATATTTCAAAGGAAAGTAATTAAATATCGATATAACAGTAATTAATTTTTCCATTTAAATAAAACTAGACTACAAAAATAATAAAACCTTAAACTTACTTGGTTTATTATTAATGGTAATATTGATGTTGCTATTTTGAGATTCTTTTCTCAAAACAAAACAATATTTATTATTGGTGGTCATGATTTTCAGTGTAAAAGAAAAGATAAAATTATAAAATCAAGTAGTTACTTTAAAAAACAAAATAATGTTGAGCTGGAGCTGGAGCTCAGTAGCAAAACACTTGCATGCACAAGGTCCTGAGTTCAGTCCCCAGCACCACAAAATAATAATATTAAAATTGAAATAGAAACATAAGCCCACTATTTTTCTTTTACTGAATTTTTAATTGACAAAACATATTTATAGTGTACAACATGATGTTTTGAAATATGTGTACATTGTAGAATGGCTAGACTGAGATAATTAACATAAGCATTATGTTACATACTTATTTTCTGTGGTGAGAATACTTAAAATCTACTCTCTGAACATTTTCAAGCATACAATATATACCATTATTTTTCAAAATACACATATTCCTTACTATCTGAATTTTCATTATCCAAACTTTCAATATCAAAATTCAAGCACTACATAGACCATTGAAAATGTCTATAAATACTATCACTCTAGTATTAATAGACATTCCAAGTGCCAGGACTTTGGTGTCTAATACCATTCTCAGTAAAAGGAACTAGAGCTTATTAGTACTGTGACTGATTGACATCTGGAAAAGGAATTTACAAGATAAGCCTACACATCTTGCTGGGCAAATAAACAAAGAAGTGCTCAAAAATTAATAGAGTTACATTAACAGACATAGGAGCTAATTATAAGAGACTATCACTGGATAACATTTTAATAAATTGAACATAAAACAAACTGAACATTAAAAAAAAGTTGATTGAAACATTCAATTCAAGAAAATCCATTAGTAGTGCATACCAATATTAAAAAAAGAATCAAGGAAAAAATTCATTTGCCACCATTTAAAGTAAAGTGTTCAGTAAATCAATCCTTTACTTTTAAATAGGGAATTAATAAAGAAAATATTCAACATTTAATCTTCCTTTGTAAAATAATTATATTTTAGGGTACCAAAAAGTCCCAGTTGGTGGAGAAGAGCTGTTTAATCAAATTTCACTTAGTGTAGAAGGAATGACAAAATTCGAAAAATGACACTTCTGCAAAGTTACTGATTCAGGTAAGAATTATCAATTGGTGTTAAAAGCATTAGGAGAATGGGTAATAGGAAAATGAATATTCATACAGTGTCAAAGTACTACCACCTTGTTACGAGGGGAAAATGTAACTTTACAAGGACCAGGCTGTCAACCTTAATCTGGAAATGGATGTTAGCAGCACTAATGTTGGGCAGGCAAGAGTTAAGTAACTCCTCATGTACACAACAGGAAACACATATCAACCATGATATACATTCTTGCCAAAAATATTCAGTTTGTTTTTTAATCTAAACTTGGGATCTAATGACCAGGTTCTAGGAAATGTAGAGGGTAGAAGAGTTAAAATCTGAAATCTGACAAATCCCAAAGTGGAACATTTTACAGGACAATGGCAAGGCAATATGGAAAAGAAACAGTTTTAGATTAAGTGAATTTTTAGGAGCATAATAACCAGATGCAATGCACTATCCTTGATTGGATACTAATTTGAACAAATAAGATATAAATGATAATGTAAAGAAAATTGTGTTGATTTATATATGTACAACGTATTAGATCATTCTAAAGACTTTTTAGGAGTGATCATATTATTTTGGTTACATAAGAAAATGTTTTTATTTTTTACAGTTGTACACTGATAGATTTAAAGGTAGAATGTCAACTCTGTTTACTGGAAAATATTTCAACATAAAAAAGTAAAGTGAACTTAAAGGAATTAAAGTTTATTCCAAAAGAGGAAAAAAAAACATACAGGATACTGAGACTTTATAGGACACATAATACAAAATGTGTTGAAAAGATAAAATATTTATAAACTTAAGTTGAACTGCAGATATATTTTGTGAAATTTTTCTTACCTTTTGAGATTTTTATTAACTGGCTATTTTATAATCTAATTATCAAATCCTATAACATGCTAAGACTGGTGGTGCAGCTATTTGAATTTATGGAATTACCCTGAGCCACTGAGCCTTAGCATCTTGGAGGCTGAACTCTTCAGTGCTATGAAGGGGCCGCAGTGAGAATGCAAGCCCTTGTCTGGAGCTCGTGAAGGCTGCTGTTGCAGCACTGCTCCAGCCTTCCTGGAGCAAGGACTGGTTCTGACCTACACTAGACCCTGCAAGACATCTCTAGATCATTCTAAAACAGATGAGGCTCCCTGCACACACACACACACACACACACACACACACACACACTTCACATATCACAGGTCCCAAAATATAAATATCTCAAATCTACACCAAACTCTGCTTACTTACTGATCTCTATGATCTGATCACCATACATTGTCCTAAGGTACAAGTTATTCTAATCTCAAGATGCCTACTTCTTAAGATCTAAAATCAATAAATGGGATGGTATCAAACTAAAAAGCTGCTTCACAGCAAAGGAAACAATCAAGAACATGAAGACAGAGCATTTAATATGGGAGAAAATCTTCACCACCTGCACCTTAGATAGTGCATTAATGTACATTAATCTCCAGGATATATAAAAAAAACTTAACATCAAATAAATAAATAAATAACCGAATCAATAAATAAGCAAAGGAATTCAACAGACACTTCACAGAGGAAATATGAATGATCAACAAATATATGAAAAAATGTTCAACATTTCTAGCGATTAGAGAAATGCAAATTAAAACTACACTGAGATTTCATCCTACTCCAGTCAGAATGGCAATTATCAAGAACACAAGTACAATAAATATTGGCGAGGATATGGGGGGAAAGGTACACTCATATATTGCTGGTGGGATTGCAAATTGGTGCAATCGTTTTAGAAAGCAGAATGGAGATTCCTCAGAAAATTTAGAATGGAACCACCAATTAACCCAGTCATCCCATTCATGAGCATATACATGAAGGACTTAAAATCAGCATACTATAGTGACACAGCCACATAAAAATCTTCATAGCAGCTCAATTCACAATAGCTAAAATACATAACCAAGCTAGGTGCCATTCAAAAGATGAATGGAATGGATAAAGAAAATGTAGTATATATACACAATGGAACTATTACTCAGCCACAAAGAAGAATGGCATTTGCCAGTAAATGGATGGAATTGGAGACTATCATGCTAAATGAAATAAGCCAATCCCCCCAAAAAAAACAAAGGCCAAATGTTCTCTCTGATATGCAGATGCAAACACACAATAAGGAGTTGGGGAAGAATAGAAGTTCATTGGATTAGACAAAAGGAAATGAAGGGTAGGGAGAGAAAATGGGAATAGGAAGGACAGAATGAATAGGACTTTCCTATGTTCATATATAAATATACAATCAGTGTAACTCCACATCATGTATGGCCACAAGAATGGGAAGTTATACTCCATGTATGTATAATATGTCATAAGATACTCTGCTGTCATATATATCTAAAAAGAACAAATAAAAAATTTTTGAAAGATGACTACTTCTCAGGAAAATAAGCAATTCATATGGACTAGGTATATAATAATGATGCCCATGTCCTATATATCCCCCCCATTACATCCTTTAATTTACTTAATCACTCATTCAACCAGCATGTATTAACCTTCTTTCTGGGACAAGGGATGGGATAAAGAATGAGACAAACAGGTTGAACCATAATCCCTGCATTTCACTTAAACTAATTCAACTACACCCTCTCAAAAATAAAAGAGAACAAAAGAACCAGTGAAGGGAAAGGCATACAAGTGATTCCACAGGCTTCCACTAAAGTAGTGTAGTGGTTCTCATCTGAGGTTCTAGGGCAGGCAGCATCTGAATCACCTGGGAACTTGCTAGAACTGCAATGTCTATGGCTGAATCTCAGACCTACTGAATCTGAAACTGTGAGGGTAGAACCCAGTGAGCTGTGCTTTAACAAGCTCTGCAAATGTTTCTGATAATACAGGTGAAATTTAGAAAATCACCAGATTAGAATAAGCACCAAAATAAGACATGAATTTGCTATCCCTTTCCTGGATCTAGATTCTAGTTATCAGAATAACTGTAATGCTGGAAGCATTTCGCTGTGCTGAATGAGTCTCTGGTGCTTAAAGATTTCAATTACCCCTCCAAATACCTCCAATACAAGCCAACCGCATCATATGAACCTCAACAACAACAAAACACAAACACACACACACACACACACACAATCTATTTCAATAAGGAAGAAAAGATGGGCTATGTTAGATGTAAAGAAAAGAGGTATGTACAAGGCTCTCTAACAAGAGGCCTTCCCTTGGGATAGCCGAAAGTAATTTTGCCATAGTGACTTTCAAACCTAGCCTCCTCATAAAATAAGATATTGTTATAACCTTTAAAACCAGCCTACAAAGAATAACATTTGAATAATCCAGTCTGAAGATTTAGAATTTGAAAATGTGGTATGTATTTGTATATGTCATGTTTAATATAAATAGTAGAAAGTTCCTGCCAGAGAAAAATCTTCCACCTAGAATTACAGGGACCACAGGAACTTCAGAACCAGTAAGCCAAGTTCCTTTGTATGACCATAACTAAGGCACTCCTGCTCCTAGGAATCAGTCTTAATCTTTAAGACTGGGAAAAAGAGGGAGGAATCTTCTTATGCTAGAAAGAAAGCAAGTTTGGGAGTTAACAGACCCAACCCCGAATCTCTATCAGCTATAAGGCCAGGCAAACCACTTAACCCTCCAAGCCCTGATGTCCTCCTAGATAAAATAAAGATAATAACCTAATTGAAAGAATTGCTGTGATAGAGAAAATGTACCTAAAATACCAAG